CGTACTTGAGCACGTCGTGGAAGGTGACGTCCTCTCCGTTATGCAGACGCTCGAGCTCATAGCACATGTACTTGAACAGCAGCCGCTCCTTGTGCGTGTCGCACTCCAGCCGACCCTTCAGCAGGCGCAGGATGAACTTCACCTATACACATAAAATATTATAATACTGCTTGTATTATAACTATATAATTTTTGGAACAGCAATGGTTGTACCTTCCGTACTGGGATGACTCCCTTCTGGTGGACGTCGACAATATTCCAGGTGTTCTGGAAGTTTCTGATATCCGCGTACGACAGCAGCGCGTCTTCCTCGTTTGAGTAGAATAAGGAGAAGTTTTCCATTATTATAGCTGCAAGGAAAATACTACGTATAAATATTTATTGCCTTAAACAAAAAATTACTTAAAAAAGTTTCGGTCAAACGTAACCAGATTGCTGGTGCAAAAAAAGAAGCATGTTCACGCATCTTTGTCGTTGTTGAATGCCAGTTAAGTTATTGAACGCTACTGGCCGAGTGTGAATTAGATATTAATGTAATTTAAAACACTTCATCACGATATATAAGTGAGACTGCGGTGTGTGTGTATGTGTATGTGTGGAGGAGGTGGTGAGGGGGAGGCGCACAGACCGACGAGCAGGTTGAGCACGATGTAGGTGATGATGACGTAGAAGGTGCAGAAGTAGGCGAGCGAGGCGGTGAAGTTGCCGCAGTCGGTCTCCCAGTAGTTGTCTGCGGGCGTGCAGTAGGGCGGCGCCACCATGCAGTCGTGCATTATCTTGTTCCAGTCCTCGCCCGTCACGATGCGGAACAGCATCGCCACGCTGTGGATCGGCGAGTTGAAGTTCGCGCGCCTACACACAAACAACTCCATATGTAAACAACCATTACATCGTACTATTACATATACTACAAGCCTATGGTATCTGTAAGTTGTACCTTCCGATTCCTTCGCCGTACTTGACGTTGCCGAACACGATGGTACCGGCGAGAGCGTAGAAGAAGACGAGCAGAAACATGCCGAAGATGATGAAGAAGCTCTTGCAGACGCTGACGCCGACGGTCAGCATCAGCATCTTGAGCGTCGTGTGCTTGCCAGTGATCGTGAAGAACCGCAGGATCACCACCATGAACCCCACGAAGTACGACAGGTCGTTCTACATACCACATACTGACTTTTAACACCATTTTCCTATTTTATTGTATTCATTTTAACTTAACATTGAAGAGAAGGAACATGGATATAAAAGAATTTGGATTAGAACTAACAACTCAAGTTTTAGCTTAGTGAATAGACCAATAAACGAAAAAAAAGCTATGTCTCTGAATACATGACTTTGTAAACTTATTAATAGTATAAATGTGAGAGTTTGTTTGGATGTATGTTTATAAGAAATCTATAGTCTACACTGCTAGATGAATCACGATGAAATTTAGCATAGGAATTGAGGATAGTGTGGAAGAACACACAGGCTACCCAATATTTATTTTTTTAGTTAGACGGATTCGCGAGCGAAAGCAAGTGGTAGAACAAAATTCTAAATCGATCTCCAACAGAGTTTATCCGTAACAAAGAAACAATAACAATGTTTCTCTAATACTGCGGATATATGAACCTTTGCCCCCTTCTCTTACAATATAAATGTGATATATATGATGATTGAAGGTGACCTTGAGCGTAAAGTGCATAAATATCCAGATGCAGCCGGCGAGGGTGACGAGCAGGTCGTAGCGGTTGCGGCGGCTCTGCCAGTAGCCGCGCGGCGTGAACGCCACCGTCTTCAGCACCACCTCCACCACGAACACCAGCGTCAGCAGCGCCGACGTCAGCGCCAGCCGCTCCGTGTTCGACGAGTGCCGCGACCACTGCGCACACGCGACCAACACTTAAACGCCACCGACGAGTACGAAGAAAGGAAGCATTACAAGTACAGTTGGTGTTGAATTTGTAGATAATTTTCCTTATTTCGTGCAGTAAAGGGTAATATCGATGTTTAGATATATATAGAGGTTTACAATATGCTATCATCGTTTTTGGAAACACAGATAGAAAATGAATGAAAGTGTTAGGCAAGGAAGTAGTTACCGTGACGGCGAGCAGGGCGCTGTTGATGAGCACGACGATGGCGATGACGCGCTTGAAGGAGAGGTTCTGCGTGACGTCGTAGGCGAAGGCGCGCACCTTGCGGCCGTCGGGCCGCGGCGGCAGGTGCAGCGGCTGCGCGATTTTCAGCCGCTTCTTCAAGTCACACCTGAAAAATCAAATAAATTCAAAATAAATGAAAAATAATGAAAATTGTGATATCTGAAAATATCAAAACTTAAAAGTTTAAACGTGATTTTGCTCAAAATTTGATTTCCTGTTAGCAATGCCGTTTACCGTGAGCATATAGTCATATTTTTAAAGAAATGCAACACATACAATTTGTATAACAAAACACATATTGTAGTAAAGAAAATTGTTTACTAGCTTTCGCCTGTGTTCTTCCAGACTACCCATCTATGCCTTTCATCGAGAGCTGTTAAGACGACAAACTCTAACAAACATCTATCCATCTAAACTTAACATTTATATTACTAAGAAGTAAGATGAAATGTTCCGAGTTACCATCGTCGCTGGTCGACAGTGAGCAGGGCGGTGCCTTTATTCTCCGAGTAGTTGGCGATGACGACGCCCACGAACAGCGTCAGCCCGATCATGCAGCCCAGGAATATATACACGTGGATGTATATCGCGTGTACCTGATATAACAATAAAATTTAGGGCCCGTCCCACCACTGGCTGATAGAAGCTCGGATAGCTTAAAAATGACGTCACTGTCAGATAAGGTAGCAAAATGCGATATTTCCATCATATATTTTACACATTGGATTGTTATCAGACAATTACAATTTAGTGGGACAGGCCCTTAAAATGTCAATACAAGCTGTGCATAACATATTAAAAAATGTGAAAAATATCTATATGTGAATATTGACTTACGGGTCCTAATGCTTTGATGAGCACATCGCGGACATCCAACCAGCCCTTGAACGACAGCACTTCAAACAGGGTCAGCAGCGCGTCGCCGATGTTATCGAAACTGAATCGTTTTGGATTTGCCCTGGGTAACCACAATTTGTTAGTTTCAATAGAAATATTCCTAATTATTTCAATTATAGTTTAAATTCTTGTTTTCGTCAGAAGGTTAAAGGTTAAGGTTATTATTGAATTTCATTCTAATACACCCAATTTTTTTTTCTAGAAGTTGAAAATAGACAACCTATGCGTGCAAAATGTTATTGCTTAATTTTTCAACAGTCTTACCAAACTCTTGGCACGAGCATGGAGGGGAAGGTCTCGTTGGGGCCGGGCTTGATCTTCATCTTGGTGACGAAGACGCGCCGCATGAACACTCCCACGCAGTCCTCACGCCGCGTAATCGTCGGGTCGTTGCAGCGCGCCAACCTGTTCATATGACAAGTTTGTCTATAACTCCTATGGTTTAAAAAGCTGTAGTGTAGCTCTGTCTTTTTAATGTATTTCTATACCTTCCACCGTAGAGCTGGACGCCATAACTCGCAAACACGAACATCAACAGTATGAGCAAAGTCGAGACCTGAAATATAAATTCGATTGCAACTCAAATTATGACATTTAATTTAAGGCTAAAAAATCCGTGGATTTGTTAAATGTAACATGTAAATGCATATCGGCATAATGAGGATTATAAAGAAAACATCAAAATGAAAGTTTTTAGAAGAAAAATAATAACACCCAGCTGTAATACAACGTAATATATTCGATACATCATGCTTAAGAGTACTTATAACAAGCAAAAATAATAATTGGCAGACAGTGTTAAAGTTCATAAAAAAGCAAATTAATCTGCATAAAAAATAAAATCATAAGATAAAATGTTAGCTTGTAAAATCGTTAGGTAAAATTATTTTAATGTCGTTTTGATTTTCTTCTTACGGAACATTTATTTACTGACTCGCGAAGGATTCGTATCTTTTGTTATATACATTACATATGAAAAAATATGTAATGTACTTTGTTATGTCCCAACCTCATTATTTTTTTCAAGTTCCCTGTAATGATTGCTCTGTTAGAACGATTTTGCCCATTAAAAAGCCTTATTGTATAACATTTAAGTTTCATGCAAACTTTACTTACCGCACCGATTAAGTAAAGCTTCCTACGCGGAACTCGTCTCCGAGATATTAGAACCATTTTTCTTAGTTGATATTTCCACGTTACTGAAATAATAAATTAAATATTTTAAACGCTTGCCATGTGTTTATAAAAACCGAGGGTGCGTCTACAAAATACAGTGCCTATTTGGCTACTTACTTTACGTACTTACTTCAACGAATCCATTAAGTTATCCGGCATTGAAACCCACATTTTAAAACGTATAAAAATTATGCATAAGTGAAGCAACCCTGCAATGTTCAATCCTTATGTTGTCTTAATAGGTGTGCATTTTAGAAAAATTCAAATGAATCCGGGCAAAGACGCGAACGAAAAACTAGTGACGATAAAAATAACATAAATCACCTACAAAGATGCTTACTGTACTCGGCGCTAAAATTATATGACAATATCAAAAATTATTTAATGACATGGTTTTGAGGAGCATAATTAAAATTTCAACCTTCAAAAGTTGCGGGGAGATTGTGGACAGTTGACTACTCGTTTTATGTAGAACTAAATAATATAGAATACAAAACGCCTGACCCTAGTTCATAAAATCTGTGAATTATAATTTACCAGAAGAATTTCTTTAAAGCCCCTGCAAAGTTCGTAGACGACTTTGCGCATATGCGGCACGAGCGTGAATATGCGTAGAGGACGCACGCAGCGCAGGATCATTAACATCTGCGCGGGCGAGCCCGGCGGCACCCGCACTGGCATCCAGCACAGGAACGTCAACGACACCTGCATAGAGTAACAACACATTATTGATCTCAACTTCAACGTGTGCGATGAAGGTCATCAAACTTTCTGGAACGATAGATTTTTTTTATATCATAAGTTGCAAAACGAGGAAGAGGCCAACTGAAACCGCCAAAATTACGAAGCGACCACTGCCCATAGACATCTGCAATTGCAGATGCGTTGCCTACCCCTAAAAGACAGAGGAGGAGACGCTAAGGGGTATTTCCCCTTCCTATGCCTTTCCTTCACCGTCAAATCCACTTTTCCTTCCCCTCCTTACCTCTCAAGAAAATGGTGGTAAGGGAAAGGGACTAAAATTAGGCCTCCGGCACCACACTCATCAGACGAAACGCGGAATTGGTCCCACGTCACGTCTGTATTCTGTGTGGTCGTGGTACTACACCGAGCGAGCTGACCCATTCGTGCAAAGATGTTAAAAAGCAAGCTCTACCACTGCTAGGTAATCTGTAATGTAGTTTGTACATTGAAAAGACTTCTCCGTCCAATTGTTTAGTGTATGTAGTAATATATGTTTAGAAATTTGCTTAAATGTTTTAGTAATTCGTTACCGTAGGTTAGTACGTACGATTTCATATCAAGTTTAGATTTTTGCTATAAAAACTTAACATGATTGCTTAACAATCAATCAATATTGCATTCTATTCGTGGGTGTAATCTGGGCGAGGAGCGATGCGCAATAAATGGCTGAGGCACAGACCACGCATGCGCGAACGGCCAACTCAGCAAAATTTTCCTAGAACTCTAGAATAATATTTGTTCTATGTCTTCAAAACCCTAGGAAGGTGTGTTTATTTTAACTGAATAAATTCTAGGGTTGAATCTTCTTAAGTTTAACCCGAATTGATTATCAGAAAAAGCGATGGCCTTTCATTTCAACCTTTGAACCATGTCATTCAAAGTTTGAATGAAGGTTCGTCTTTAAATGACATTCAGAGTACATGTCTCATTTTTTTTAATAAAATAACAGAATCAATATTGGTACTATCATATAAATCTGTTTTGATCGTTCGAGACGTATTTAGGGCAAATCCTTTGGCACATGCGCACTACTTTTTGTGGACATATGTGTCTAGAATGTCTAAGAAGGAAAAATTTGATAAATTTGTCATGGTATATTTTTAAGGATAGGGCGATGACTAAATTACGTTATTTAAAACTTTAGTTTACATAATTTAGTAATAGCTTATATTAAGTTATGTTCGCAATTCTTTTTATTGTTGTTAAACAATTCCTTTAGAGAAAACTCTAAACTCTCCATCATATACACTAAAACTAGGTAGTTTAAAGTTTTTTTTATTAATATTTATTACAAGTATCAGATTTCTTTATCTTGTATTAAGAAGCGCAAAACAAATCGCAAAGTAACCCGCTTTTCTTAAACACCTGTGGAATACAAAAGTCCGCGGTTCAAACTCGAACCTAAGACATTTCAACACACACTTCAACATCAACTTTCACAATATAAAATTAACGCTTTTATATCAAGTATGGATTTATCAAGAGATCACATAATATGGTAATGGTATTTCCAAAAACAATAATAATAAGGCTATTTGGTTCATTTTACATCATGCGTAAAATATTAATTTAATAAGGTAATCACACACATAAGGGGAACCCCCGCACAGTTTTCCAATAACTGCTCGTTATTGATTTTTCGTGCAGGACCTCAACAAAGGTACGCAAAACAAAAACTTAACCTTGACCTTTGGGGATAGCGTCTAACATTTACGTTTAATAAACAACGCTCAGCTGATATACATTTCGCTTAATTAAGTTAATAAAACAAATGCTACTTACATTTTTCTTTAATTTTGTTTTATTTGATTGAAACAGCTGCTGTCACGAAAGCAAGTTTGGGACTGAGAGTTATCTTGCAAAAACATGATATATAAACAGGGCTGCGACGCATTTCATGTAGAGCGCAGGCGTCAGCTTTCGTACAGAGCAATCAACAGGTGAACTCGACACTTTAATCTCTACATTAACAAAACTAAATCTTTACGATTGATAGAAACTAATTTTGCACCCATCTAATATTTCTACCGATTATTGTCCAAATACGATGTGTCACCGATAAATTTAATTACAAACAAACTGCATTCCTAATGGAAGATTATTTGATTGCGAGAAAATGAAAGTGTCCATTTTCATTACACTGTGCATAGATAGTGCAAGCGATTCCGTCCTTCCTTTTGATTGATTTCACAGTGTACTATTTTAATACTCGATGTTGAATAATAGATTTTTATTAAAAAATGACCTAAATTGAATCGTTTTAATTTAATTTGATGAATGATGAAAGTAGTTAATGTAAAATTAAAAAAAAACGAGTGAAATAGGGTAACAAGGTAAATTAGATTGAAAATGTCTGTAATCCTGCGAAGTTAAAAAAGTTTAATGGATACAGATGTTCGCAGCCTCCTTATAGTTAACGCTGCCCGAAACAGATTATTTAAAAGGGTAACTCACCTTAAATATTCAGCTTGTGTATGCTTCATTGCTTTGTTACATAGCACCACTTACCTTATTAAAAGCTAACAAAATATTTAGAACTTGTAAAGTTAAGTTTTTGAACGCTGTATTTGTCCGATTTAGAATAACTCTTACGCAAAACAAATTACTGTCGTAAAATTAAAATTACTGTGTAATAACTTTGAAAAGGTCTTTCCGTTGCATACAACTTTTTTTTAACTACTTACCACATAAATAAATACATCCAATACAGCTGCAGCGTCTTTTAGATATGCTTTAGGTGTAAAAAATAATCCGTCGGCTAATATTTTTAACGCCAATTCCAAACTCATAAATATCACGAAGCCGTATTCTGCGATCTAAAAATAATGTTTAGGATAATAACAATAATACAACATTAATGAAATAAAAATATAAAAAAATACAAAAGAAATGAATTTTCTTAGCTTTAATTTTTCGTTGCTATGAATTTATTTAGTACAGTTTTCGCTCGTTGTTTATTCAATTTTAAAATTCAGGTAATTTCATTGACATAAGTACCTGCAGTACAAAGTTTTCCATAACCCTGTATGTGGGCGTTTCAAACATCATCGACAAGCATGACAGAGTTGTAACCATAATCATCACCCAGTCCAGGTAAGTCACCAAGCCAAGAAAATTGCTGCAAACAGTAAAACCAGTATTATGGTGGCCAAATGTAACAAAACTAGCAATTCTACAACTAGAAAAAACTACAATACTGATGATGTTACAAAAATATGCTAACGTGCAATGCCACCAAATACAAAAATTCAGTCATACCTTATGTAATTTGGACCTATTATATGAAAGGATATGATACAATAATAATGTAGTTCAATGACAACTATCAACAGGAACTCATTTCTGTAGGCATAGTAAAAAGAAGGGCAGATATAAAAGTAACTAACTCTTCCGGTGCGGCTTAATCCGTATGAAATTGTAAAGACTTTACTTCAATTTTATACACTTGTGAAATTTTCAATTATAAATGACAAAATTCAAATGCACAAATGACAACCATCGCAACTTTATTTCCTTCATGTTGGCAGCTTGTAGTTTATGGTCCCTTTCCTACATGAAGGTATTTTCTAATTAATTTACCCCTTAAATTAAAAAGCGTGAAAATATTTAGCCAAAGCGTGTTGTAACCGTAGGGTTTTTTTATTAAAGAAATAATTATTTAAAAAAAAACATACAGACGAATTGAGTACCTCCTTCTTTTGGGAAGTCTGTCAAAAATATGGTTATATGTGTTCAATTTATACAATCTATACTAATATAATAAAGCTTAAACACACACTTCTTTGTGGCGTAAAATGTCAATATTTACAGCATATTGATGAATAATTCTTTTTTAAATAAAAATGCCTTACTTACGTCACGCTTTAGGGTGTATATTTTTACGCTATTAAAATTAGGGGGTAATTAAATTTCATAAAAACCCCAATGTGGGAAAAAGACCAGAAGCTTCTGCCAACATCAAGGACATCAAGGTTGTCACGGTTTGTCGAATATCAGTAAAAAAAATAAAATTTACATAATTTGAAGCGGATGAAGCCGTACGGGAACAGCTAGTATTAGTATAGAAGTATAAATGAGCGTTGCAAGTTACTGGAAGCTTTTGTAGTGGACTTTGCGCTCGTTGCCGGTGACGGGGTCGCGCAGGCGGGCGTCGTAGCGCGCGTCCACCACGGCGCGGCACAGCTTGCGGAAGCGCGACTCGCGCGGCACCAGCAGCAGCGGCGTGTCGAACAGCGGGTGGTTCTCGCGCAGGTCCTCCTCTCGTTGGTTCCTATATTTTTTGTCCTATTTAAGCTCGTATGGAACGAAAATCATTGTACCCTAGGCTGTAGCTTGAGACGAATTTGAAGGGCAGCGATGTTTACAGGTAGGGCGGAACAAATGTTCCAAAAATCCCCGCCACCTAGCTACTTTGATTACATTTTTTTTTCATAATGCGTTATAGTTTCTTATTATTATAACACTACTGAGCTGCTTACAGTACATTGATTACAAAACTATCTTTGAACCGTGTCATAGAAAATATGACAAACTAGCTGTCGCCCGCGACTCCGTCCGCATGGAATTAACAAAAAAATAAAAGTAAGCAGCCTACGTCTTCTTCCAGACTATGTTCTACAACTACGTCAAATTTCATCGAGATACGTTCAGCCGTTTAGGCTACAAACTCTAACAAACATCCATCCATCGAAACTTTCGCATTTATAATATTAGTAAGATAATCAATCATCTAGAATAAAAGTTAACTTTTGTAAGTCATAATTGTAAAAGTACAATAGTATAGTTGCAGTCATAGATGTGACCTTCTCATCTCCGCCTGCTGGCGCTTGGCCTGCAGCAGGCGGATGTCGAGGTAGGGCGGGCGCGCGCGCGAGGAGGGCACGACGCGCGACGCCGCGCCGATGTCGCCGTTCTCCAGCAGGTGCTCGTACGTCTGCTTCAGCTTCAGCGACCCGCTGCGCACCGAGCGCCGGATCGACCGCGACCCGAATCTGCACACAACTTACCATCACCATCGCAAAATACGATCACACGCTAACCGTTCCTTGTGAAAAAAAATCATTAGGTATATGATTTATCTCATTCGTAGATACTTGCTTTTTTTGATCTACCCGCAGCTGTTTGGCGCTCGATATAGTGCCCTGCGACTTGAGGCCCGACTTGCCGCCCGTAGCCAACATCGCCGAGTCCCCCAGCACCAAGCGTCGGTGATTGTTTGAATCACTGAAATGTTATCCTTATTAAATTAAAAAAAATATTAACTCATCATTATATTGCTTTCACTTTTTAATAAAGTAACATAAAATTACCTTCAATCACTATAAGCAATCTGCAAATACGTCGGTCAAGCAACAGCTATAAAAATTGCAAACAAAAAAAAAATAAAACAAGAATCAAAAGAAGCAACGAAAATATTTTAAACATAAACAATCTTTTAAATTATTAGTGTAACCAAGTATCATAGCAAGAAATTAAAAAAATTACTTAATAATTGAAGCGACGACATGTCTCCGTAGGGCGGAGCTGGGCCGCTGCGAGGGCGGGGCCACCACTAGTGTCTTGACCAGGCACCGTTTGCGGTAGGGGAACGCGATCTTGTCCACGCCTATGTACTCTATGGCTCGCCGTGATAGGTCGCCGGAGCGCGCGCCCGCCCCCGCCCCCGCGCCCGCCGCCGCCTCCTCCTCGCCCTCCACTTCGCACACAAATTGACGCATAAATGATTCGCGTACCTGAAAATTATACGACAATTAGTAACCGTTATTAATGTAACTGTCTTTATAGTAACAAACTAAAAGACCTGTCGTCGAAAAAAAAACAATTCTTAATAATAAAATCAATTCTTAACATCCATAGCTTAAATTCCCTATTGAATATTTTTATATTTGCTAATGTAATTTTGAATATACCTTTGGCAAATTGAAATCGCCAGGAACTTTGTGTAATTTCGTCATTTGAGGACTGTCTGGAAATTTCTCGAAGATTCTTAACCTGAAGGGCAAGCTTTCTTTTATCTCTGCGCTTTGCTGACGGTAGCGGAGTTGTTTTAATTTTTTTATGTCTTCGTCCAACTCTAGATTGTCTAAAATAACTGCGACAAACAGCGACAGTACGATCTAAAATAGAAATTTTCGTTTAATAAGAATTTTCATATATTTTTTTAAAAATTTCCTGAAATATAATGCTTACCAATGTGACAAATAGATGGTATAAAATGAAATAAATAGCGACCAACGGTGTCAAGGTTTGACTGGTTCTGACCATTGTTTCGTCCATCACTTCAACCCATGCTTCTTGTGTTAAAATTTGGAACATGGACATAAAAGCCTGCAATATTAAAACCTTACATAATCATTTTGAAAAATATTTAAAATTGTTAGGTACAAACATTGCAGGTTATAAAAAAAAAACACTTAGTTCAGGTTTAATTTTTTTATTGGAACATTGAAAAAATATACAAATGAAACTTACCTCAGGAAATGTTTCAAATTTAGTGAACTCACAGAGAAAACAGAAGAGTTGCATCGAGATTGAAGAACTTATAATTAACAAACACATGGTAAATATGATGAGGCTGCCAAGTTTCTTGCCAGGACCGAAGATTTTGTAAACAAAACCCTCCAATAGTGGAGAAGCTTTTATTAACCTAACTATACGTAGAACCTTTAAAAATCAATTAGAACATAATTTTATTACATTAAAAACATAATTTTATAAAAACTAAAAACAGTAAGCACAAAAAAAAATTACAAATTCATACCTGGAAGTAAGTAAAACCTGACATATAGAGTTGAGGAATTATATGAATCGTAGTACCGACAGCCAAAAGTAATTCAAACTTATGAACAGAGTGTTTGAAATAACCCTTCCAACCCAAACACCATATTTTTATCAATGCTTCCAAATCCAAAAAAATAGTAAATGCGATCTGAAAAAATGTGTACATTTTACAGGAAAATAGGCACATTTCATATATTTATACAGCAGTAGAAATATTGTACTAACCTCAATGTAGTAATATTTTTGGTAAAAAAATTCTCTAGGGTTGTCATCGTGTTTAAAATTCATAGTAGCAGTAATAATTCCATTCGCTAACACAACACCCATGACAAGAAGACGAAAGTATGCAGAGCGTAGCATTTTATGGAATATTTCTGGAGCACTTCCTGTAAACATGTAATTTTTTTGTATCAAAAAAAAAATTGATCGTCATTTTTTTTGTTATTTTTCGTGTTAATAAATATTGATAACAAGATTATTAAATTAACATTTTACCTGAATGTTTATTTTCATCAATGGTTACTAATTTCCAACCGTTATCGTCACTTGTGAAAAACTGCGTCGTACTGCCTTTCGTTATAGGGTTGCGAACACCCCACATTTGTTGAAACTGCACTCTTATTTCATTAAAAGTTTCCGTTATTACTGCTATGAACACATTTTTTACCAACCAAGCTAAGAAAAATATCATAGTGCTGTAACAAAAAAATCAAAATTAATATTTTGTACTTGCATATTTTTATATAGCATATGTTACTCAGGGATGATGTAATACAATACTTTTTTAATTTAATTGTAACATACTAATCTTAATTTTATAAGTATAGACAATTAATTTACCTAAAGTATAGTGCTGATCTCCATGCTGGTAAAGAATCAATAGCCCTGTACATTATAAAAACCCATCCTTCCTGTGAAGATGCTTGATAAACAGTAAATAAACTTGTAGCTAAAAAAAAGCATTTAAATGTAATAAATACCTCCAAGTTATTGTCAATTATTTCATTATTTACCAAAATAATACAAAATAGTTTGGTTCAACATACCAAATTCTTCAAAACCATTAAATCCCATGATATATTTGGAAAGGTTTAATTTTATACATTTCATTCCAGAAGGACATTGATAGCCAGAGTTAGGTTCCGGTGAACAGAATGTATCAGGAATTGCAAGAGAATTTATAGTTATTTCACTGAAAAAAGAAAAATAATAATAATTATGTTTTAGTAATTCTGCTATGAGGCACATTTTAGGTAGTGTATTACTCACTTTGGATCAGTATTATTTCTAACACAGTGATGTGTTAATTCACCAAAAAACTGAACTCCCAATAAACTATACAGTGACATGAAGAACAAGAAAAATAATGTTACATTATAAATCTGCTGACTTGATCGCCTGTAAAGAGAAGATTAAATTGATCATCTTAAGTCTCTTTGAATATAAAAGTTTGGTACTTTATTGCTACCCATACTTACTTAAAAATTTGGTTAATCCTTGACTTTGGCATAGAGAATTTCAGAAATACCCTTAAAAATCTGATCATAATCAAAGGCCTAGGAGCTCTGAGTATACTGAGGTAACTGTATCTTGGCACAATCCCTGTCAGCTCAAACATCTGCAGCAGCACTGACACCCAGAGGAAAAACACCATAGAAGCATCAAATTGGCACCAGTGATCCTTTAAGTATGCAACATCACCCTATAAAACAATATCTATTAAAGCTGTCTACGATTGTTTCAGATTAGTATAAAACGAATAATTATATACCTTCAGTATTCCTCTAATATGCATTTTTGCTATCATTTCAGCTGTAAAAAGAAGTGTAACACAACAGTCTACCACAAAAGTTGTTATCTGAAGATAAGGATATTTTTCGAAGGACTTCGGCGTGTTCAGGGAAACGGACATTAAACTTAGGAGCGCACAAAATCTTAAAATTCTTCTAACCCATAACTGAAAGCAAAAAAACAAATGTAAATATTTTGTAGTTAGATAGAATATAAGAATATAATTTTCGTGCTTACCTTATTTACCCATTCGATATCAGCGCTTTCATTTAGTGATTCTTCTGGGCCGTAATCGGCAAGTATTGGTTCGCCCTTTAAACTTTGCTTTCGGCCCAACATTTTTATATTGTTGAAAATAATTTTTAAATCTTTATATTGCCCGGAAGAGAAAAATCAGAGGACTACATTTTGATGCAGTCTTCCTAAATAATCTCCCCGTGTATTTAAATTTAAGTGAAGTATTCAATTTTCATTACGAATTTAAAATAGACGGCGCACTTTTACGCTGACCAACTGCTGACGCTTATCACCTATTATTGATTTTATTTTGACACTGACGTTAGATAACAGAAAATAAAACGCTCCATTACACAAATGTTACAAGTTACACAAAGAAGACAAACCAACAAATAGTGTTTAGCCCTTTTGTTTGTATTAAAATCAAATCTTATGTGAAACTATATTTACTAAGTTTCATAACAAACTTCGTAAATGTAAACATTTGTAATCCCTAATGTTAAAGTTGATCAGATATGCCAGTTTGCGTAGAACTAGCTATGCATAGTATCCTAGCAACGGAATGTTTACTGTTTAACTGACACAATGCTTTCAACTTACAACAATTACAATTATTTTCTACATAATTATGCAGTATTCTTCATGCTAAAGCATTGAAATATTAATGATAACATTTGAGTCATCAATAATAATACAAGTTTAGTATTTAGTAGTGACAGAAGAGTTTTAAGTCAAAATGTTCATTTACATGAGCAAAAAGGTACTTTATCTAAAACAACAATTTAAATGTCAGTATGAATTAAAAGTTAATATTATGTTGATTTTTATTTCACAGATCGCAATACCAAAACAGTCTAATGTGAATTGCATATCATGGAACCATGCAACTGGATACATTGCCGTTGGTGGAGAAGATGGAATGTTAAAAGTATTAAAACTGGAATCTGGTAGGTATATTTTCCTTATTCAACCTTCGAGTCTTTGCAAGATCTTATAACTATTGCCACCATAATGTATTGTGTTAGTATTCAACATTTACCATTACCATAAATATTAAATTTGTTTTATAAACAAGAAATAACATATTCTTTATATAAATTTATATTATGTTCTAGGGGGTGGTGGAAATCTTTCGATGAATCTGACACTGGAGGGACACACAGGTCATCTACAAGTTGTTATATGGAATGAAGTATTCCAGAAACTTACAACTAGTGATGAACATGGTGTAATTATTGTGTGGATGCTTTATAAAGTAAGAATTGATTTTATTCAAAGTATTCTTTTGTAAAAAGTTTCTGCTGCTAAAGTACATGTATGAAAACATTTTGTGATCACTCTCACTTTGAAAAAAAGCAGATATAGAATCTGTTTTTGTTTGGCTAGTGGAAACCAAAGCTAAACTTGTATAACATTCATCTTTCAGGGCTCTTGGTATGAGGAAATGATCAACAACAGGAATAAGTCTACAGTGTCCAGCATGGCATGGGGCTCAGATGGACAAAAGATATGCATAGCATATGCTGATGGTAATTGAATGTATTTAATTTCTTTGAATACTTAACACTTTTTAAAAGTTCAGTCGTCTAATTTTTAAGTTTGGAGTTAAATAGTTATTTTCTTGCAGTAATGTAGTTTTTTTAATAAAATTGCATACAATGTGTATAGAGTATTTTTAATGTGATTTGTTATTGATTAATTATACTATATTTTCAGGTGCTGTTATAGTTGGTTCTGTGGATGGTTCCCGTGTTTGGGGTAAAGACATTAAAGGGCCGGGTTTGAATGCTGTTCAGTGGTCACCAGATAACTCACTGTTACTATTTGCATTGTCAAATGGAGAATTACATTTATATGATGATCAAGGAAACTTTATAGTAAGTTAAAGTCATTTTAAATGCCTTGTATTCTGATATTGGTTATATCTTCCTAATATTATAGATATAGATGCATAAGTCCATATATCTTGATGTAATGATGCAAATGATTGTAACAGATGTAGAACATTGTTTAGAAACCTAGGTTAATTATTAAATAATTAGATGGAGACTAAGCCTAAGACTAATGCCCATAATAGGCTATAGAGCACAAATGATCGCAATAATTACTTAGTTTGTTTCATCATCATCATCATTAACTTGCCCTTATCCCTTTTGGAGGGTCAGCGCAGTATGTTCTCCTCTTCCATACATCTCTATCAGCCGTCATATCTGAATTCACTCCTTTCTTAAGCATATCCTCTTTTACACAATTCATCCATACTTTTGTAGCCATCCACATTCATTCTTAACACTATAATGTTTTTATATTTTTAATATTTTTAGATTCCAGTAGCGACCAATCGAAGTTCAGATTCAATGGAAATTATAACAATGGACTGGTACTCCGGCAGAGCACCGGCTAATAGACCCATTTTAATGATTTGTTACAAAAGTGGTCAGCTGTTGTTAATGAAAAGTTGTGTAGAAGAAGGTATGAAAATTCTCCTCTTGTGTGAAATTTTTATGTCTTACTTTTTACTAATATTTTAAATGCGAATGTTTAGAGGGATGGATGTTTGTTAGAGTTTGTAACCTAAACGACTGACGGGATCTTGATGAAATTTGGCATAAATGTGAACACATGTGGTATCCACATTTTTTAAATTCCATGTGGACATAGCTGCAAGCGAATGCTAGTAATATATCATTTATTTTAATTATGGTTCATGTATGTATATTTCAGAGAGTGTTGTTGTTGAAACAAATATGACTATAATTGACTGTCAATGGAATCATAATGGGACAATATTAGCGGCAGCAGGCTGCACAAAGGAACAAGCTAATGCTATACAATTTTTCAGTGCTTATGGAGAGGTACTTGATAATTTCAATATATCAATAGATATTTTTCTTCGTTTATTATATACAAAACAATAAGGTTTATAAAACTTTGTGCACCAAAGACAGGAGATGATGATAATGAACTTTTTTATTTTATTATATTCTGACCGGAAATATAAAAATCAGTCAGGTAAAGGTCAGAAACCTGGTGTGCGGGTGTGACTTATTATTTACCCTTAAACACTACAATTAAAATTACTCTAAAATATTACATCTAAATCACAGTTTTTAAATCTAATTAATACAAAAAATCTTTGAATATAATTAACATTGGAAGCACGGTTAGAAACAATACTAAATTAAAAGTAATATTTCTTTAACCCTTAGCCTGATTTTTTAAAACAAATTAAAAAAAAAACATAAGTGCACCCTTTACCGTGTTAACTAATGTTGGAACTTCAGGTATTTAAGAGTTAAAATGTAACTGTATGTTGGTACTAGCATGTGAGAACGCTGCGAGTTCCGGGTGGCTCTATGAGAGCGCTGTCGTGGGAGCGATGTTCCCTGCGGCTGGCCGTGGCCATAGATTCCTTTATTTACTTCGCTAATGTAAAGCCTGACCACAAATACGCGTACTACGGCAACACTCTAGCATTCGTCTCTGACACCGATACTGTTACGTTTTGGGACACCGTGACACATCAGGTATGTATAATTAAAAAATATATACTGTTATAATTCATTATTATATATTTCAAGCTTAAATTTGTCAATTCCAATATACAGAAACTAACATTTTTCATACTTCTAAAGCATTATTTTTTTGTAGTATACATGTACATATTTTATTTTATTTATTTTTCTGTGATAATGTTCTTTTTTTAGTCATGGATAAATCATATTCCCGACGTCATAGATATGTGCGGAGTCGAGGAATATTGTGTTATAGCGACATTGAACACGCTTATTATATCGAACCAACAAGGAATTCAATGCGACGGTGAGATTATTCTCCCTCTATAAATTAATCTTTGTAGAGTCTGTATTGATTTTTAATTTTATTACAGCAAAAGCAATAACAATGCCTATAGTTGGTGTTACAATAAATAGTAAAGCGGTCGCCGTGGCCGCGTCTAAGGAATCATTTTTAATATGGAAATTTTCCATACCATCCAGATCACGTAAGGATTATTTTTGTATACCTCGTATGTTAAATTACAAGGTTTATTTATTCTAATACTGTTACAGATACTTCGGAGCAATTGTACCGTGCGGATGGCACTCCCATGTCCGCGGGGGAAGGTTTCCCAGATGACACCATCTGTTGTGTGACATGTTCCGACACTCATCTGTTAGTTGGCAGAGATTCCGGCACGATATTGCTTTTCTCTCTTGTCAATTTTAAGAAAATAACATCTATTAATATGAATGCAAAACCTTACAAAATGGGCTTGAATTCAAACTCTAGGTAATTTATTTATCTGTACCTACTTCTATACTATTATAAAGAGGAAAGTTTTATATTTTTGTATATATTGAAATAATTTAAAAACAACTGGCCCGATTACAAAAATTCTTTTAAATGGTTAAAAGCTACTTTATCAGTAACATAGGTGTTTTTATTTTATTTTATTATTTCTCGGGGACGAAGTCGCAAGCAACACCTAGTAAACAATGAAATAGCAAGCTTTATATTTTTTACTAAAGAATTTACTTTTTTTTATTTATAGTAAGTTTTTCGTTATCGATCAAGCGGGGTCTCTGTTCGTTTTGGACACGGATATGTCGAACAATATAAGTATGGGTCAAGCTGTGCGCAAGGACGTGTGGAGCGGCCTGTGGGCGGCCGACAACTGCCAAATGCTGGCCGTCGCCGAGAAGGCTCGTCTGTACGTTTTGAGGGACAACGAGCCCGAGGAGCCGCTCACTATGCAGGGCTATCTCTGCAAGTTCAAGGTAACAAAACATATAGCACAAAAAATAATTGATCATTGCTTACTAATATAGTGCGTTAATATTGACTGCTCTGTTTCTAAAAACGTTTTATTTAAGGTACAAGCTTTTGCCTGCAATTCCGACCGCGTCGATTTAAAAAGAAACCAAAATTGTGTAGCCTGTGTATTCTTCCCGACTATGTTCCACCGAGATTCGTTCAGCCGTATACACCACAAACAAACATCCATCCATCCAAATATTATAAAATTAGTAAGATAAGTTTATTATAAAAAGTATTTATCATAATATGTTTTTTACATCCAGGAGTTGGAAATAACCAGTGCTCTTCTGGACAATATAAGAGACAAATGTACTCCACAGCACATAGTGCGAGTGGAGGTGAAGTCTCTGAGAGACACGCGCCAGTTGATCGACAAAGTGGGCCTGAAGGAGGCGGAGACCTTCATTAAAGATAATCCGCATCCACAACTTTGGTACGTTGTTATACTTATTAAGTACAGTTTGTAGTGTCCATGATTTTATGTAATTTCAATATGCAGATTTTTACAACATAATATAACCAACCATTTTGTAGGAGCTCTCCACTGCTTTCCATATGAAAAACACACTATTTCGTTGTTAGATTAAACACAAATCAATATCATTCAGAGTTATTTAATTGTCACCACGAGTGCTTATGTATAGAAACTTCAAATATGCAGTATGCACATCCGGAATCTCCGGTTGATGTTTCTATTATATCTCTTAACTGTAATACAAAGGTGGGCGGTCGCCCCACCTCGCCGCACTTCGCCCCACTTCGTCCTGCCGTGACGCTGGTACTTTTTTATATTATAAGATGGCAAACGAGCAAGTAGCCACCGGAATTCGACGAAATAGCAAAGCGACCGCAATCCATAGACATCCGCAAATGAAGATGCGTTGCCTACACTTAATCGACGGAAGAGGAGACGCACATAAACAGGATATTTCTTTGCGTCTCCTCTGCAGTCAACTCCACTTTTCGTTCCTATCCTATCCTAGAAAAAGGACTAAGGTTAGGTACTTTCTATTGCAGGTTACTTTTAGCAGAAGCCGCGCTGAAGAATTTCGAAAGCGAGTCTGCTTTAGAGACGGCGGAGGCGGCGTTCGTGCGGCGCAGCGACTACGCCGGCATTCGCTGCGTCACGCGCCTCCGAGCCTTGCATTCCAACGCGCTCAAGAAAGCGGAGATACTCGCCTACTTTAAAGACTTCGATGCTGCTGAAAAAATATACCACGACGAAGACAGGCGGTGAGAAAAAACTTCATATAAATTGTAGAACTAACAGTGGTAGAGCCCGCTTTAACATCTTCGCTCGAATGGGTCGGATCGTCCGGTGTAATACCACGATCACACAGAAAACAGGCGTCAAGTGGGAGCAATTCCGCATTTCATCTGATGTTTGTAGTGCCTGAAGCCAAACTTAATTCCCTATTTCTTCCCGCCCTTTTTCTTATAAGAAAAAGATGTGAAGGGAACGTGGGTTTGACGGTGGAAAAGACTCATAGGAAGGGGAAATATCCTCTTTATGTGCGTTTCCTCCAACGTCGATTAAGGGTAGGCAACGCATCCGTTATTGCGAATGTCCATGGGCAGCGGTTACTTTACCAATTTAGTCGGATGCAGCCGTCCGCTTGCTTGTTTGCCATCTTATGATATAAAAAAATAGTAAAATTTTATGTCAACTTAACTGTCGATCTCTTGAGGATGATACGAAGACATAATTTAGTTTTATGCGTTATAGAGACTTAGCTATCGCACTACGTAAGCGCTTGGGTCATTGGTTTCGAGTGGTGGAGCTGTTGAAGATGTCTGTGAATACGACAGACGCGGAAGTTAAGCAAGCATACATCAACATCGGTGACTATTATTTAGATAGACAGAATTGGTAGGTGTACAACATTTTTATATATGATTTAGGTTAAAGATTTGATTTTCTTTGGCCTATATACAAAAATACTTAATTATCGATTTGCACACTAAATTTTCTCTCAAACTTTTCGCTAAATATAGGAAGTTAAAATGAATAAACATACGCGACTTGGTCGAGTCCACTCATTGGTAGAAGATTGCAAATATTTCTGATTGGAATGAAATCTAGTTATAGTTCTTTAACAGGACTGGCGCAATCGAATATTACTCCATGTGTAATAATATGGAGGGCTTAAAGAAATGCTACATGGCCTTAGAAGACAACGAGTCTTTAGCTAAACTATTCATAGGATCACCGAGACATGCCAAGGTTAAAATTTACGAATTTTTTAATTTATTTTCAATCAATATACTCATATTAATTAAAAAAAAAATGTTCTCGTTCATAGGAAGCGGGGAAACAAGTACTTTTTGATGATATGAACGACGCAAATCAAACTGTATCAATTCAAAATGTTATTCAGCTGAAAGAAAGTGGAAGAATGCTTCAAGCGGCGGCTATGGCGTTTCAGGTAACAATTTATAAATATACAAATGATTTAATTTCATTAACGTTTTAATGTTTCGAGTGTAAAAGTCATAATTTTATAATTGTAAAATGTATTGTTTTACTTTTTTTTTAAATTAATTAACAGTTAGCCAACAATGAGGCTGCAGAAAAGGCGTCGCCGTCCCGCATCAAGAAGCTGTACATCTTGTCCGGTCTCCTCTACACACAGAACTCTGTGGGTCAGTCAATGTCACCTTCATTTTATCTCTACGTCAGTATAAACTCGTAACGAGAAATGTTTCTGTATTCGGTTTTGTTATCATAAGTGACGAGATAAAGATTTTATCTTGTACATTTTATCTATGTACCTGAGCTTCAAATGAAATGATTCTTTATTTTAATACACATTTTATAAAACTACACGAATAATATTTTCTAAGACAAGTTATTTAAGTCATAAATATGGTATTCCTACATGTTCATTATAAATTAAATCGCATAGATACACACTAATTATAAACTAGTAAATAGTGCTATGTTTGTTAATTACTGTAGTTGTAGATATCTCATCATTGTAATTCATTTAGCCTTATCAACATAATTACATGATTTAACATAGATTTCTTTCTTGAATTATTAATCAAGATACACAGTGCATCATGTAACTACAATCTTATCTTACTAATATTATAAATGCGAAAGTTTAGATGGATGGATGGATGTTTGCTAAAGTTTGTAGCCTAGAGGGTTAGTCTGGAAGAACACATTCCGCGCTGACGGAGTCGCGGGCGAAAGCTAGTGACTACATAAAATATCCTTATTTTATAGAATACAAATATATACAAATGTTATAATTTCCGTTGGCAACGAGGTGTTATAAGTAGTGCGTATGTCAGAGGGGCGCGGCGGGCGCGAGGCGGCGCGCAGCTACCGGGCGGCGAGCGCGCAGCACTGGCTGTGTCTGTGTGCGCGGCGCGCGCGCTCGCCCCTGCGCAGGGACACGGCGCTCGCCCTCGCGCACCGCCTCGCCGCGCACGCACACCTGCTGCACCCCGCGCAGCACCGCCAGGTACACTGCGCCCACTCACACCTATGTTACTTTTTTATATTATGTATAAGGTGACAAAGGAGGAAGCGGCCATCTGATGCCGCCTAATGGCGAAGCGAACGCTGCCCTAGACATCCGCAATTGTAGATGCATTGCCTACCCGTAATCGACGGAAGAGACGCACATAAACAGGTTATTTCCCCTTCCTATGCGTCTCCTCCGTTCAAATCCCTTCCCGTCCCCACCTCTTAAGAAAAGGGTGAAAAGGAAAAGGCACTAAAATTAGGCCGACGGGACGCGGAATTGCTCCCACTTCACACCTGGCGAGCCGACCCTGTAGTGCGAAAATGATAAAGCGGGATCCACCACTATAAATATATATTAAATTATACCCATTTACGTATTAACCAGTTTTTTTACAAGTTACGGATTTCTTTATTTTTTTAAAATGGTTTTTTGTTAATTTTCTCCTCAGATGTGGTGTACAGTTGCCGCTATTGCGTTGCAAGTGAGAGCTTTCGAACTCTGTTCAAAAGCTTTCATTAAATTGGAAGCGCTGGAGGTGAAGTTTATTGTTTTATCTTTGAAGATTTTTTACCATTAGAGGCATGTATATTACATGACTATCACACCTTCATCAAAAACTTTAATTTTAATTGTGGTTTACTTTCATAATTGTATTAAATGGCAACGGTTTTTTCACATTTTGTAGCCTGACGTCTTTGAAGAGCTTGCAATTGAAGTATTTACACGATGCAAACCAAAGGATAGTAGAGGAAACAAAGTTGACTGTCCAAATTGTCAAACGAGTATACCCGACTGGTGAGTTGCGAAAAACTATTTATGTGACGAAATAGTCATACTAATATTATAAATGCGAAAGTTTGGATGGATGGATTTTGATGAGATTTTGTATAGATGCAGAGGATTTTTTTTAATTCTACGCGGACGCAGTTGCGGGCGAAAGCTAGTTGTTAATAAAGAGTGTTTGTCAGGTGTGTGCAATGCGCTGCGTGCGGGGCGCAGTTCCCCGGGTGCGCGGTGTCGGGGCGCGCGCTGTACGGGGCGGGGGCGGGGGCGGGGGCGAGCTGGACTTGCGCAGTGTGCGCCGCGGCCGCGCAGCGACACGACCTCGTCATACGACACTCCTGCCCCATGTGCCACGTGCAGCTGCCCTAGCCATAGTCCCTGGCATCGTATACCCTCACCACTAATCTCCTAAATCAGACATTCCCAAACATATTTCGCCCAGTTTGATACTATAGCGTAGTGACCCCCCCCCCCATGTTTTATGTACCTTAGAAACTGCAATTACATTTAATTTTTTGCAAGACATTTCTTGACTGGGGTTTAATTAACCTATTATCATTATTATTATATTATTAACTATTATTCTAAACAAAACTCTTCTTACAAGAGAGATCAATAATACAACTTTACGATTTTCACATTAAATATGATATTCATCACCTCCTTAACTAAGTGAAGTTAGTAATATTAATAAGCTTTACTTAATTGTGATCAAACAAATGTAATGTATGCCGTCCGTTAAAATTACGTATTATATAAGAAATAAAGAAATTAGAAGTAAAGAAAAATGATTGCTTTCTTTTCTAAATTCCAACTGCAAATAGACACTGAATTTCTTTAGAACCAAATAAAAATCAAACTCAAGATCTGAACCACCTGTTACTAAATATCCTTGACCATGATATATTTATTACTTTCATCCTCTGTAGGATGTTAGATAATAATTTCTTTTCTTTTTAATTTCTTTTCTAATTGCAATATAGTCATAATTTATTTACAAAAAAAAAACAAGGAATAAAATAAGAGACATTCAATATAATATTACTAAATCTTTATTAACAATATTTCACAAACTATGTGCTTTAATTTCTTTCTGTTAATTATCTTTGACTAGATAATTTATCTAAGTAAAAGAGGAAACTGCTGCATAAGACAATTACACAATTCTAACTGGCAAATAATTTGATAACAATGTTTATAGAAATATTATTTGTACTGTATAATGTATTTCAATAATCAAATATATGAAGATACTTAATATATTTATTAACAAAGTTATAGGTATTTATCTGTAAATCGTAAAATAAGAGAAATTAAGAATCACTCCATGATCCGATTGTAACCCAACCATAACCATGTTTCTACAACACAATACACTAACATTATTGTACATAATTATTGTTTGGCATATCCATTTTAGAGAACTGCAAAGTATTGTCAATGATTTGGAATAATTCAGGGGGCTGTGGAATCCTACCAGTTTCTAGTTTTGACCAAAGTGGAATATTATTGAGAGATATTTCAAATGCACCAGATGAAACCAGTTGTCCTTCGATCATGTTGGCCAAAAAGAACAACATCATGCAGGCATATAATTTGTTCTCTAAACACCAACTCCACCAGCTGGGCTGAGGTTTGTTCAGCCAAGCAAAGATGTTTACCCCACTAAGGACACACATTATCAATATCATCTTGCCAAAACCCTGAAAACAAATATGTTTATAAACTTTTTATGCCATTCTTTTAATTATGTCACTGCATAACTCAAACCCATTTCACACAAAATCAGTAAAGTTAGCTTTTTCAGGGATTAAATACAAAATTATAAGTGACACATTCATTACCAAATAAGAAAGAACACTTACAATAAGTCTAGATAGGTACATGTTAAAGCCAGGTGGGTCATAGTTTGCACCAATAACAGAAATTTCAGGATATTTTTGATGTATTATACCAGCATAATCTTCAAACACTTTTCTGTAGCCACAAGAATAGCTAAAAAATAAATCCACATAAATAACTACAAAAAAGAAAAAACAAGAAAAATGGGAGTTAAAATGATCTAGTTTTTGTTCTAACTAAGGTAATGGAGTTTAACGAAGGTTAATATGCACTTTATACATCAACTAATTTAACCAATAGGAATTATTTTTAATTATAAAGATACTATTCATGATAATTTATTATGGAATATGATTACTTCTAACGAAACTACAGAAATAATCTACGATAACAGAAAACTTTTAAGAAACCAAAAAACAACTCAATTTATGAATCTAGTGACAATGCATGTGTTGTGTAAACAACAGTTTTCAAATACGTACCAATAATAAATGTTCATAATGTGCCCCATGCCTTGTCCAATTTTCGTTATGCTTTCAGCATCATTTTCATTAGCTCTTACAAATTGATCAGCCGATAAAATAAGACACAAACATAAAAAGGCTAGGGATAAAGACATGCAGTTTGTGATAGACATCATGACCTGCATTTATATCTGGTTGATCAACAAATATTTGTAATTACACAATAAAATAAAATAAAACTAACGTAGTAAGACGATATAAACGAATTAAGCAGCTTTTCGTTTTTCTATTAATTTATAATTCAATTAAAATTTTACCTTCCGACACTTGACAGCTATAGACTGTAGTTTCTAAGCAGTGTTGTCACATGTCAATGAAAATTTTTACCCGGCTGTGTACATAGAGTGAAAAAGCCTTATTGTATGGGTAAAGATCATCGGTGGACAGTAGCACCAATAAAAAAGGAAAACTTTGCAACACTTGCTAAATTTAAAGTTTTTAATATCCGTGAACAGCGTTAAAATTGTCCGTTCTTTGTTTTATTAAATCGTAAATAATTTAATTGAATTTCATTACTCGACGTGTAAATCATCATTAATTAATAAAGAAAAACGATTCGAGAAGCCGTAGATTCTGCTACGGCCTCATGGTTTCTTTTATAGCCGTAGTTAGATTTTGTAATTTGATGGCCTTAAAGCCGTAAAACTCGGCATTTGTCGAAACATTGGCAATACTGATACTACGATAGCGAATAGAGCTTGCCATTAATAAATTATAATAAAACCTTTGCTATCTCTATTCATTCAGGCAAAAAAGAGAATATTGGATACTGTTGTCTATGATCAATGTCTTTGGGCTTGTGTTGTCATAGTGACAGTTGACAGTGTGAATGTGGAGTTACGATGGTTTTGTAAATTGATAATCACCAAATGAAAAAAAAGATATAGTAAACTAAGGTTTAGTGACTAGGCAGAAAAAAATTAACTCAACATTTACATATTAAAGTCAAAGAATCATAAGCCATCTTTAAAGTTGATTATCAATGATTATTCAATAAAAAGTCGGAGAACTAAGAATATAGTCTATTATATGTAATAATCAAAAACATTTGAATACAAATTGAGATACATTAGTTTAAAAATGCCTCATAGTCACTGTAATCATGGAAGTCATGATCACGATCATGGGAACCCAGAAGAAGTAGGCTTACAGTATAATCTTTATCAAAAAATTGACAAAGATAACGTTGAATGTCTCAATGAAAGTGTAGATGGTTCTGGAAAAACTGTATTTAAACCTTGGGAAAAGCGGCTGGATACTACTGAGGTTGGTATACTAAGTGTAAAAATGTTTTTTTTTTTTAAATTAATGTATTGACAATAAGAAACTTGGTTACAGTATGTGGAAAGTGATGCTGATGAGGAGTTGCTATTTAATATTCCATTCACAGGCAATGTAAAATTAAAGGGTATTATAATAAGATCAGAAGATTCAGAATTACACCCTTCTAAGTTAAGATTGTAAGTATATTAGCATTATTATATACTTTGTGTACAATGTGCAATAACATACTAGTGGTATAAAAGCAAGCATACTTCAAACTACATTTTGCATTTTCAAACTAGACATACTAAATTGTTGCTTATTTAACTAGCAAAAATTTGCTAAAACAAATTATTTGGATGTAGTCTTTTTGCTTTTATACCCTCATTTGTTGTATTACTTAAAAAAAAGTTTATTTTAATGATGAAATGTTCCAAATTGTGTCACAATTGTGAATAAAACAATATATATATATATATATATATATATGATATACATCTAAATCTTTTTATAAACTTGGTGCGTGCTGCATAGCATAGCAAGTATGTGCCACTCTTTTGAACCTCTTCCTTTTACTTTCATAAAAACATGTTTATATTTTTTATTGTTTATTCAACTCCATCACGGTTTCAACTTTCTTGTAATTATTAAATAAGGAACTGCTCTTTATCTATTTTGTAGATTCAAAAATAAGCCCAACATGACATTTGATGATGCTTCAATGGAACCGGATCAAGTGTTAGAGCTCCAAAAAGATAGCCAGGGAGTTCTGGAGTATACACCTAAGTAAGTTATATCTCTCAACATGTTGACATTTTATTTATATCATCATCATCATCATCACCAAGTCTCTGTACATCCCCACCAAGGGGCTCGGAGCCTATACTAAGTTATAGTGACTAGGCCATAGTCAACCACAATGGCCAAGTGTGTGTTGGTTCACTTCACACATATCTTGGAATTTCTTCGCCAATATGAACAGGTTGCATCACATAGTTTTCCTTCACCGTAAGGACATAGGAACATTATTTACATATGAAAATCGAAAATCGTACATAGCGGGATTGAATCCAAAACCTGTAGATTACAAGTCAAATGCTTAAACGACTGAGCCACCGACACTCTGTGATTTATATCACTATACAACAAATATTTTGTGACTTAGCTATTGTAGCATCTTCTGCTGACCGTACACTTGTTTGCTGCCAGTTATTGAAAAAAACTTTACATACAGTCTAACTATAATTTTGATATTTGTTTTGCACTTTCAGAATAGTCACATTTTCCTCTGTATCACATTTAACAATGCACTTCCCAACAAATTTTGGTGCAGAAACAACAAAAATTTACTACATTGGCTTGAAAGGGGAATGGACACCGGGGCACAAGCATGGAGTTACAATTTGTACATATGAGTCAAGACCTATGCTTGATGATCATAAGTTAAAACATCTAGATTCTGTTGGCAGACCAATAGAGTAAAATGACTGATGAAAATTGTAAATACATATTTTACACTGTATACAATTATTGTTATATTATTAAAATAAACTACTCTCAATTTAATTTAAATTGGAATATTTTTATTCATCATAGAAATTGTAATCATTCTCGATGTATCTATACTTCTTTGATATAATATAGCGTAAACACAACTACTCAGTTATGTAAAATTTCAGCAATCACAGTACAGTTTTCAATAATATTTATCTAATTGTAAATGCTTTTTATTTATATTTTTAATTGAAATATTACTAATGTAAGGCTATTGGCGCTTTAAAGTCTTTGTGACAAGGTTTTCAGGGTAAGTAATAAAAGAAACAAATCCTAACATAATCATTTTATTAACCTACAATTATATTGTTATTTAATATGTTATTATTATTTACAAAACTTGGGCGTTTAAAACGACTTCTCGACACAATACGAATTATTTGTATCCCTAAATGACAATGAAAAAATATTTATTGAACAACTATAATTAAATGTGGAAATGAATATTAAACCTCACACTACATTCATATTCACGAGGTAATTGCAACATAAACACTCTGACATTCGTAACATGTTTAAGGTTCCTTGTACTTGTCATGATTATCCATAGCTAGTTTTCCAAATCCTAAATTATTTCATCAAATGCCAATATTTATTAAAACAGTAAATCTATAATTTATTATAATACAAAGATGGCAGTGACTGAGATTTTGTTCTTGATATGTAGTTTAAAAATATAGTTGTAAGCACTTCAATTAGAGTTAAGGTTGCGTGAGCTATGTAGTGACGTGCTTGTAGACTCTGACGGGCTGTCGCTGGCCGCGCCTGGAGTATCTGCGTCCGTAGGGCCCGTAAGGCGGTCTGCGGCCCGGGACGTTGTACGGCCGCTGGCGCACCACTTCGTTGGGCACCGAGCGCACGTCGCCTCCCTGGTAGACGCCGGCCGGCGGGCCCGGGAGCCGCCTCATGCACACCGAACATCTTTAATACAAATTATTATATATTATATAACTGATATGGATATACGATCAGATACGATGGGTTCGAATCCTCCATGCGAAATCGTTTATTGTTGCCATATCCAAAGTCGAAGAATATTATCGCTTTATTTCAATAACGTGCTAATAAATGTCTAAAGTACGTCGATTTATAAATTTTTACGAAGGAATTTAATCGCCTTGAACCTAGTAAGAGCGTACTCGCAAGTATTGTATTGATATATGAAAAAAGATTGACCTATGTTATTTTCGGACTTGAACATACCTGCTAACTTTAGTGATTTTATCTTCCTTAAGCGTTTGTTGTTCAGGCCGTGAGAACATTCTGTTATCGTCGATGGTCGATAACCAGTAGGAGACGGCGGTTGCGAAGTAATTGCAGCGACCGAGACCGTTACATTCAATAAATGGCCGCGTACGGAACTCGCGGAGACAGGACCCAGGAGATATTAAACTTTGTCCAGCTGCGTCTGCGCCTGCCGTGTGCTGCACAATAACAAATTCACAACTACAACTTTATATCTCGTTCGGATCGAAACGCAAATTAAATTAACAGTATAACGTTAATTTTCATACATTCTGTTATTTCGATGATTAACTTTTTATTTATTTTGTGCAGTCGTATGAGAACAAAAAGTTAGATACGAAGCAGACTAAAATTTGTATTTGAATCTTACCATTAAAAAGCTGTAACCAATCCATAATTCGTCCCAACCCTGTGGACACGTTGGCACTTCACTACTTTGGCTATGTATGGCGATTGTTCGTGTTGATGTCTCACACACTTGACACCTGAAACAAAGGAAAATACAGTAGATAAAACCTTATAAGTCTTAAGCTTAAAAAAAAATGTTACGATATAACTAAAAAAGTCGTTCCTTACATGGCTGTCTCAAACAAAATTAATTTATGTAATCACAGAGTTTCTTAATCCGTGGCTACCTCGCTCGCACAAAATTCATAGTTATCAGTATTCATTATAAATGAGACAGTAGACGTATAAAGAAATACTTTAAAAAGACTTACCTCGATATGTATGAACCGACATCTCTAGCTTGAATAGGCTTCATAGCTATCGGCATTGGCTCTGGCGTGGACAGCCAAAAACTGTAATCCTCGCGTTGAGCAAAGTCACAAACATTGTTAAGATTGCAAAACATGTATGGCATGGTTGAGAACTTACGTAGACAACTCCCAGGTGCTCCTGTTTAGAAATAATTTATTTTATCATTAAAGTTTTTTACATGTTTACTAGCTTTCATCATTTTATCTTGACTTTCCAGACTATGCTCTACTTCTTTGTCAAATTTCATCGATATCCGTTCAATAGTTTAGAAAAATCCATCCATTCATCTCAACTTTCGTCTTAGCATTTATAATATTAGTAAGATTCATCAGCAATAGATATTCTAATATCGAAAAACATTAAAATTTGCTTAATAAGCATGCTAAAATCTCTACTACAACATTTAGTTACACAAAAAAAATCCTACAGTTTATGTGTATACTTCTTTATTTTATTAATTTTTAGGTAACTTTTTAACAGGTTTAATATATTTTTTTTATAATTTTCTATCAAATACTTTTAATAACTTGTACGAAGTAATATGAAAAGAAACACTAACCTAAATCTTGACCGTGAGCTTTTGCATTCGCAACTATATGTATAAGGGAGAATCCTTCCCAGAGAGGTGATGTTCCCGCTGGACATTGTGGAATCATTCTGGTTTGTGAATGTACCGTGAAATAAAAACCTCGCGACTTCGGTATCGGCGGTGGTGGCGCAGGTGTACCCGGAACCCCTGGCGCTCCTTGTCTACCTTCATAACCTTGATAACCTATAAATCCTTTTATTCCTTGAGGGCCTTGAGGTCCTGGAAGTCCTACTGCGCCCATGAAACCGACGTCTCCTCTTTCGCCTTTAATGCCGAACAAGCCATTACGTCCATTTGGACCCGGCGGACCGTCCGCTCCGCGACGTCCAGGAAATCCACGAGGACCAACATCGCCTATAGGACCGGGTAATATTTCTGATTGATGAATAGTTTTTCCTTTATCACCTTTCATTCCTCTAGGTCCTTTAAGACCTGTGATGCCCTGCACGCCTTGCTCTCCTCTTTCTCCTTTAATACCCGTAGAGCCTTGCATCCCTATATAGCCGTCCAATCCATTATCACCCCTATCACCCTTAATGCCTTGATAGCCCTTTAACCCAGGCCATCCTTGATCGCCTGTAACTCCCTTAGCACTAAACGAGGATCCTACTTCACCTACATCTCCTGGTTTTCCTTGCAATCCAGGAATTCCTTCCATTCCTCTAGGTCCAGGCTTTCCGGGTTCTCCTTGTTTGCCAACAAACCCATCCATACCTTTAAAACCTTTCGGGCCCTGGAAACTTAATCCCGGTGGTCCACTTTCACCATCAGGACCGGTAATACCATATTCACCAGGAGCACCTTTTTGACCCATTGGCCCAGGCCATCCAGGAAGCCCATCAAATCCAGCTTTACCTTTTTGACCCCTTTCAGCGTCAATTCCGTCTAATCCAGGCAATCCTGGTGGGCCTTGATCTCCTATCTGACCCTTTACACCTGGTAGCCCATCTTCACCAGTTAATCCCTTCATACCAATTTCACCACGTTCTCCCTTAATGCCTATGATTCCAAAATTACCGTTGTCCCCTGCCGATCCTTTTGGTCCAGGTATTCCATCAATTCCAATATCTCCAATATCACCTTTTGTAGCCGGTAAACGGGTACTAATTCCCCTTTCTCCACGTTCTCCCTTGAAACCCATTTCACCCTTGACGCCTATTAGACCTTGCCAGCCTTCATTTCCTGGAATGCCCGGTCTACCCATAATGCCCGGCTCCCCTTCCATCCCTAGGTCACCTTTTGCTCCGGTATAGCCAACAAGACCCGGCCTACCCATTGGTCCCTTGAAACCAATTAATCCATCTCTTCCTGGGCCTCCTGGTTGGCCCTGGTAACCTTTGTCACCTGTTTCACCCGGAGGGCCATCGACACCGTTGGGGCCCAATTCGCCTTTGGTTCCATTAAGACCAATGATGCCTTGTAGTCCAGGCTCCCCTTGCTCTCCTTTCAAACCTTCATATCCCCCAATAGATAACCCAGGGGTTCCATCATCTCCTTTTAACCCTTTGAGTCCAACAATACCAGGTATTCCAAATTCTCCATACTCCCCTGAATCTCCAACGTCACCCTTCATTCCTAATAATGCATTTTCACCGCGCGAACCCGGTATGCCGGGTAATCCTTGATCTCCTCGGGCTCCTTTGACTCCATTAAAACCATCTAATCCAGGTAGTCCGCTTAAACCGTAGTCACCTTTATATCCTTTAGGTCCCTCAAGTCCCGGGGGACCCGTTGTTCCAGGTTGCCCTGAAGATCCTTGTTCTCCAACCTCACCTCTGTCTCCAACTTCACCTTGGGATCCAGGGGTTCCCATAACTCCTGGGAAGCCAGGAAAGCCAACTGGTCCTATTTGGCCAGTCCATCCACGAATGCCAACGCGACCAGCTTCTCCTTTTACGCCTTTAGGTCCGACATCACCTTGTATACCATTTACTCCTTGCAAACCAGGTTCACCAATTTGTCCCCTGGGCCCAGGGAATCCTGGGCGTCCAGGAATTCCAGAAGCACCCTGTATTTGTATACCAGGTAGTCCTTTTCGTCCCTGGAAATATGAAATATATTTTTTAATTAAGACAATTCATTTTGAAAAGGTATTGGTTATAAGTAGTTATAACTAGAGTTAGCTCTGCTTACAAGGAGAAATCTCTAAACTTTTATCGAAACGCAAGTATGTGTAATTTGTATTATAAGTGCTCCATCTCTAGTAGGCTATCCGTTCTACTGTCGATAGATAGATAATTGCGATAAGAAATGCTGTTTGTCGCTAGGTTATAGTGCCGGCACTTGAAGTATTCCTCTTTACATAATTATACTTTTCGGAGATTATTAATGATTTCAATTAGCCACAAAATAGGCAAGAGTAAGTAATTTCAACACATATATTGGTGATTATTCATAACCTTAGTACCGGCAAATATAATTAACAATAACAAAAAACTAATATCAAAAACAAATTGGATATGTAAGATTAGCTTCATCATATGTTTTAGATTATCATACAGTTTTCACTAAGGAACAGATGTTCATAAAAAAATAGCAAAATAATGTGTAGTGTATTTAAATAAATACATAGAAAATTACTCTTTAAATAAAATGCTATGATGATTATGAAAGCAAAAAAATGCTTTGATATCCAGGCTAAATCTGAGTAAAGTGTTAGAAATTTTATTTTGAACGATAATTATTAACAACTTTGACTTACTGGTGGTCCTTGTGGTCCATCCAGACCCACGTCGCCAGAAAATCCAGTGATGCCCTTAATTCCCATGATACCGCCGCGACCTGGCGTGCCGGGGTATCCTGGTTCACCGATATCACCTCGCTCTCCGCGGTAGCCATCTATACCTCTCTCACCAAAAATTGTAGCAAGGCCAATTTCGCCCCTTGATCCTTTATGCCCTTTATTACCAACAAATCCTGTGACTCCACGTTGACCACGTGTTCCGGGTTCCCCACTAGGACCTATTTCTCCTTTTTCGCCAAGAAATCCCTGTATTCCAACAGGGCCTTGTATAGATCTGCCGGGAAGCCCCACGTCACCGGGAATACCCCTAAAGCCGTCGTATCCCATATCGCCACGGTCACCTTTTCTGCCGCGATAACCTGAATATGTAATAATTAATCATGACAAAGTAGATAGTGCACTTTATTAGCAAGATCTTACTGTTTTAATTCTACGCATTGGTTTTGTTATAAAATATGTTTGTATTTTAATAAATAATGTAGAGGCGAGGAGGCTTAATGTAGATTTACTCGAGGCTTTTTGAGACTTATTAGATTTTGCAGCGAATAGTTGTAGTTGTTAAGATCATACACACCTTTTATCCCAGGAAATCCTGGAGGTCCTCGTTCCCCTTTAGCGTTAATGCCGTTTTCTAGGGATTCTCCAACCTCTCCTGGCTGACCAGGTTCTCCAACCTCACCATGTTGACCTCTGAAATTAATGTTTTCTGTTATATCTCACTATATATTTGTTGGTGAAAGAGTTTGCTTACCAATGTAAGCCACGTTCCAATGAACGATTCTAAATTGCCCATTAAAATTATTCCATATGTAACCTCGCACCATTTCGTCATCATATTCTCCCACAAAGTCATCTACGTGACTGGAAATTACTTAAATATTATAACTTCATATTACCCTGTGATCAATTAAAATACATACTTGGTGAAACATATTTACGTATTGGTATTTACTGCTTTTGATATACGTATAAAAAAAACTAGTTATATACTATATTTGATTTACTTAATTCCAGCTTCTCCTTTGTCTCCACGCAGAAAAGCCATTGGTATGTCAGCGGGCGCACCGGGCCAGCCGGGAGCACCATCTCGTCCTCTTGATCCGTTTTGTCCGGGCAAACCGGGGTTGCCGAATTCGCCGATTCTTCCCTTCACACCGGTTGGGCCCACATCCCCCCCGAGCCCAGGCCAACCTCCATCTCCGGTCAGCCCGGGGAAACCTATGAAGCCTATTAAAAATTCAGGTAAATAAAACATACGTTTATTCATTAAAAATCCAATAAGTTAGAACACAGATTATTTTACAATGACTTTAGTCCCAACAAAAATATTTTTATTTGTTATGTATTATTAATTGAACATATGTATATCGACATGATAATTACTAATTACTAGATTTTAATGACATTATAATTTCAAAGTTGCTATTTATATTATATTTGAAACAAACCATACTTAATAATGGGTAGGTCTATTTTCAACAGCAGGCAGCTGAAGGCTGATGATGATGATGATACTTAATATACATATAAGTTAAATGTTTTCTTGCGCTAATCACTCCATGTTCTTACCTACGTCTCCAGGAAGGCCCCGTTCTGCTAAGGTCAAATCCAGTGGTGGACGAATAAGCCACCCCTTTTGACCCTTTAGTCCTTGAGGTCCCGCCATACCAGATTGTCCCTTATTTCCTTTTACACCCTTGGCACCCGGTATGCCAGAAGTACCGGGCAAACCAGTTTGGCCACGTGGCCCTGGCAATCCTTGAATTCCTGGATATCCTCTTCGTCCAGGAAAACCGCTATCGCCCACTTGCCCTTTAGGTCCAGGTAAACCTGTATTAAATGTAAACAAATTAGTTTTGGAATAACATTAATACATAGGAATGAAGATTAAATAAGTGATTTTTAATTAAGTTAGGAGTCAGTTTTAGAATAAATTACGTAGAACTTTATCTTTAGAGATCAGTACCTTATAATTTTTTATGAATTATACGTATATTTTTCTGGCACTTCACTACACCTCAACTATAGATAAAGCTTTATAAATATGCAATACACTTAATAGGTATAATAATTCTATAATTACTTGCCTGATTTACAGAATGGACAATCGTCACCTCTCTGCCCTTTCAAGCCCGGAAACCCTGGTCGTCCTGGAGTGCCAGAATCACCAACTGTACCTGGTGGCCCTGGTGGTCCGGTGTCTCCTTGTGGTCCCATTCCGTGCACCCCACGGCCAGGATAACCCGGTTGACCCATAAACCCAGGTTCACCTCTATCTCCTCTCGGTCCAGGGATACCGTCTGTGCCTGGCAAGGCATCTTCACCATCAGGACCTTTGACTGTGGCTCCTTTAAATCCCTTAGGACCTAATGTACCAATCGATCCTTGAAAACCCGGTGGTCCTCTGAGTCCAGGTAGGCCTCTGCGTCCGTCACTCCCTGGTTCTCCCTTGGGTGAGATTCCTGGATTACCCACCCTTCCGGGAAATCCTTTAACACCTGGATAACCAGGTGGTCCCATAACTCCAGGCAATCCTTTTAATCCATCAATTCCTGGGGCTCCCTGTTGTCCCACATAACCTACAGGACCCTGCGGTCCCTGAGCACCTGGTAGTAGAGGTTCGTTTAAACTTTCATCAAAAATACCGGGTTCACCCATAGGTCCTTGCTCTCCAGGAGTTCCGGTCCTGCCATCTTCTCCGGGCCCACCAGGTAAACCATCTTCTCCGTCTAATCCTGCGAAACCAGGAGCACCTTTGTCACCCTTAGGACCTGGAGGTCCATCTTTTCCTCTACGACCAGGTTTTCCTCTGGAACCATCTTCACCTTGGTCTCCTTTGTAACCTTGTGGACCATTTATACCATATGGACCCTAAAATCATACAAGCGTAAAGAACATTGCGTTGAACCACAACACATGTATTATATTATCTGAATAGTTTCAATGGGTAAATATTTTACTTACCATTTGACCCCTCGACCCTAATTCTCCTTTTAGTCCTTTTACACCTTGCATTCCCTTAAGTCCTTTATCACCTTTGTCGCCCCTGGCTATAATGCTTAAATTGTGTTTAAAAGTATCTATATTGACTATGGTTGCTGGTCGTCCAGGTTCACCAATTTCCCCTTGATCTCCTTTTATTCCCGGTGGTCCTACGGTAATATCACCTGAATCTCCTCTGTAACCTGGTTCTCCTTTGATACCCATTATACCCTAATCAAAAATGTAATTTTTAATTTATCAGTACTTTGTAGGATAAAACATATGTGATTCTTAGATCCTTATAAGATTTACCTCGTCACCTTCTTCACCGCGGAGTCCACTGTCTCCTCTCCAACCCATAGGACCAGAAGGCCCCGGTAAGCCAGGTCTGCCAGAATCACCCATTATTCCTTTTGCACCTCTTGAGTTGACTCCTCCTTCGCCAGCTAAACCTTGTGATCCCTTTTCTCCATACGGTCCGGGCAGCCCTCTGTCACCGGGAGGACCTTGCCTTCCAGGTGGTCCAACCACTCCGTCGATACCACTACATCCATCGAATCCAGCCACGCCACGAATTCCTTCCAATCCATGAGGGCCCTTAACGTTAACATTTAAATGTTGTATAAATTTGTACAAAATGAACATCTTTACATGACGGAGGCAACATGACTAGTTAACATAAATGTACCTACTAAATTACTGTTTTTTACAAAATGTTTCAATCTTAGCTTTAACTAGCTGTTCCCGTGCGCCTTCATCCGCATGAAATGATAAAAACTTTATTTTAATTGTTTACATTTGTCAAATTCTCAATTGCAATTGTCAAAATCGCCGATACCATAACCTTGCTTCCTTAATGTAGGCAGCTTGTTGTTGGTGGTCCTTTTCCCACATGAAGGTTTTTTCCTATCTCATTTATCCCCTAAGTTTAATAGCATGAAAATATAAAGCCTAAAGCGAGTCGTAAGTGTAGGGCATTTTATTAAAGAAAGAATTGCTCAAAAATATCCTGTGATTGCTGGCATCCTACATCCTACGCCACGATGTAGTGTGTTTATGCTTTATTATATAAGTAGTTAAAGATTTGATACTAATTTAAGTAGTATCAGTTAGGTATTTGCCTAATCCCAAAATCTAAACTATCTAAGTAGGAACGAAATGCGAACCTTCTTCACGTTTTCTTAAATTATGTTATAACTAGCTATCACTCGCGATTCCGTCCGGATGGAATACAAAAAGCAAGTTGCCTGTTCCACTTAGACTATACGTTACATGTACGAGTACATATGTTAAATCTCATCCTGATCCGTTTAGCCGTTTAATCGGCAAATTTTAACAAACATCCATTCATCTACACTTTTGCATTTATAATATTAGGAAGATTATATGTCATATAGTTTAAGAGAAATGAAATAGTAATAAACAGAAAATGAGATAAAAATGCCAATTTACCTGAGGTCCTGTATATCCTCTTACTCCATAGAGGCCGTCCGCACCCTGTAAAAATAAATATTTTATACATATAACATGTATTTTTGAACAATAATTTATTAATTCTACAGCTTTTGAATTTACCCGTTCTCCTTTGTCACCGACGTCTCCTTTCTCGCCCCAGTCGCCTATTTCGCCGGATATGCCGAGCCGGCCCTCGGGTCCATCATCACCGTAGTCACCTTGAAGACCAATAATGCCGGGGGGGCCGGGGTCTCCGCGGTCTCCCTTGAGACCGGAACAGTCGCATCGTGTCTGATTGCACACCACCTAACAACAAAATATTAACGACGATACAATGGTAGAAAAATTGACAATCGATCAGCTTTGAGAATATAAGTACAATGAGTAAGAAGTGTCCAATCTTGTTAGATTGACACTTTGGGGTTTCTAATGGTTTTTCTAGTCACTTTTGGAATATAAGTAAATACGCTTAATACGACAACTTAAATAAAATGCCATTAAAAGTATGTCTCGGAGCACAATTGGTTTAGGTTTAGGTCATAGTTCTAATGTATGTGTAATATATTTATGTTATTTTGTTGATTAAAGGTCAAAGCACTACTAAATATTGAATGTGTCTATACACTTCTCTCTCTCTCTCTCTCTAGCGTCGGTGGCTCAGTGGTTTAAGCACTTGACTTGTAAATCTACACGTCTTGGGTACGAATCCCGCCATGTACCAATGTGATTTTCGATTTTTCGAATTTTCATATGTACATAATTTACCCGACGTTCTTACGGTGAAGGAAAACATCGTGATGCAACCTGCACATATCGGCGAAGAAATTCTTAGATATGTGTGAAGTCAACCAACCCGCATTGGCCAAGCGTGGTTGACTATGGCCTAGTCACCCTAATTTAGGGTAGGCTCCAAGCCCCTCGGTGGGGACGTATAGTGAGCTGGTGATGATGATGATGATACACTTCTAAGAATTTTACTATGTAGTTGGGAAGAGGCAATGACAAAAAATATCAGTCTTGTATACTTTGCATTACGAAGCTGAAGCGGATCGTTCGTTAGTTTTGATAAAAAAAACTGCGTATATCAAGCTTGATTGAATAAATAAATAATAAAAATGCGATTGGGAGCATAGCTGAGGCGTAATGTTCGTGCCTTATCACGGGACCTCTGACATACATACAGCGACCAGAACAAGTAGAAGACTTACACTTCCTACTTCTGAGTAGAGCGTGAAGATTAGTAATTAATGTACGGGTGTAATTGTAGGCTTTCACTGCCGAAACTCTTGTCCAAAAACACTTTTATCTTTACTTTTCAAGACCAACGAGAGGAAGACAATATTTGTTATTAGTGTAAAAAAAATAATAATTTTATTGCGGTAACTTAAGGTAAGCTGTCCTCCGGCTCAACCTGACGACGCCCGTGAATAGAGATAGATGTCTGCCTTTCTACGTCTGTATATCTGGCACAAATTCGTTAATTTTACAATTTGCTGATAGTTTACATTATGGCTGATTCGAATAAGAATTAGCGAAGTTCGCAATCGGTCGGTGACATCTACCATACCTTCGATTAATCCTTAGTAACGCAAACAACGTGCACGTGTTTTCTAACAATACCTAGTACAGAAGTGCTGGGCAAGGTGTTTTGGCTTGTTATGTTATGTGATGACGCTATGAAATAAGAACTGTTTGACATTTACTTGTCATTAATATCTAACTATCTGTATGTAACACAATTACAAATTATTTACTATTTATCTGACTCACATTTATTACTATACACACATATCGATCTTCATATATCTAAACTTGCTTGTCGATTAGTAGTACTTCATCTAGGTATACCTATTATTTAGTCCCTTGTCTATTCGGTTTAAGTTACCAATACATAAAAATTGTGTATAAAACATGGACAATCAAAATAATGGAACAGATACATAGACAGAAGAATACATTGAAGAAGTAGTTTAAGCTCAAGTATCTTATATCTATCTTGTTATTGATTCAAAAACAAATTTATTTTTCCTTCCGTATAACAATACGATCATAATAATGTCATAAAGCCGAAAACTTTGTTTGATTGTAGTGAAATAACTCAAAAACTACTGGACCGATTTCAAAAATTCATTCACAATTAAGAAGCTACGTTGTCAGTGAGTAACATAGCCCATGTTTCATATTATTTTTTAATTTCATGCGGACGGAGTCGCGGGCGAAAGCTAGCATCTAATAAAAACCACTTTAATTGTGCATTGCTTATCATTTAAAACAGCGGATATAAAAAACAGAATACTTAAATCGCTTTAATGCTTTATGCGAACATTGTGTGCAATTACTTTGCTTTTAATTGTTGCCTGAAATGTATTTTGCAGCTTGGTGTTTGAAGTATGATGTCAGCGTCAAATTACATCATACGTCGAGCTCGTCTACGAGGTAGATTGGCCACAGCTGCTATAAAATTTAAAACAAATATGTCTCAGATCATTTTATGTTAGCAGACAAATTGGGTCATAAGAGCACAATACATCATCATCGTTAATAGTAGAATCGGAACAGATCATTAGCTCCGTGCGAATTTAACCACTGTATTTTTAATGATTCTTTCACGGCCCTTCCAAATTAAGTGAACTTTTACAATTACAGTTTTAATCTACATCGAAATCGAATACAAACTTACGTGATTTTATTTGTTTGTTTAACATTACTAGATTTTTGTTAATTTACTCGTATATCTTGTAACCATTTTAGGTAAGCTTGAAAAAAGTTGGCGTGAGAATACTGAGAACCCCCGACCGCTAGATCGCTAGACCGTACCTTAAAATATTAGGCGAACGACGCTTCAAAATTTTCAGAATGAATGTTATAGAATGTGCTTGTTTGACTAAATAATCGGTATCATGTTATTGTTAGACGAATCTTGCCTTATTTGTTTCTGTTACTTGGTATACAGGAATATGATACATCGTCCACGTTTATTTAAAAGTGCCGTCGAAACAATATCAATTTGCAGTCATCGTTTGGTTTGCACGACCACGCAATCTAATAGAATTGTACTCGTTAGCAACACTAGTTACAATAAATTGTTAAACGAATGATTTATGTGCCACCTTAAATCTTTCTATTTATATTATGAAACTTTAGATAGACAAATAGACCGTGATGAACCAATATAAATATGACCATGAAAATGGTAACTACTTTTAAACAATTTTAAAGGGTTGTAGAACGTTTATAGTAGTTAACAAGTTTTATTACAATCAGAGTCGGTGGCTCAGTGGTTTAAGCACTTGACTTGTAATCTACAGATCTTAGGTTCGAATCCCGCCATTAATTTTCGAATTTCATATGTACATAACTATTTTGTCAAGGAAAACATTGTGATGTAACCTGCACAGATCAGCGAAGAAATTCAAAAATATGTGTGAAGTCAACCAACTATGGACTGAGGACTTATAGTGAGCTGTTGATGATGATGTCACAATCAAAATAACAATGTCTCTATTTGAAGCTAATACGTCTAGAATGCCATATAGTAGTGTTATGTCACAGCAATTAAAATATGAAACATGTAATTTTCACTCAATCCTGTGTTTCGCAATTCACGCATCATCAATATATGTTCGTCCCAACGACTATATGTTTGGGATCAATCTAGGGCTGATACCGAATGTATATATTCCTTTACCGACACTTGCATTCTCAACTTTTGCCGCAGCCGAGGGGCTCTAACATCTTAGTAATAGGTAAGAATTAATAAAGCTCTATAGTCAATGGAAGAAAAGATACAAAAAATGTGTAGTCAATAAACACGCGCTGGGCCTGCGTGGTTAACTAAGACCTAGTCACCCCTAAGAGTAGGCTCCGAGTCCCTTGTTTGTATGCAGTGATCTGGTGGTGCTTATGTTGATCTTGCCCATGCTAACTTCTGATAAACTATAGTCATATAATGTTTAGTTGTTCGACTTTTTCTTTGTATGACTTGTATTCGTAAAAAATTGCGCAAGTGCGTATTGTGCGGTGGGGGGTGTTCCGGGGTCGCGGGAGGAGCACGGTGCCGCCGCCGCGCCGCTTCCTGGCGGCAAGCGCGTGGGCGTCGCGGCCGGACGCATCGCCCGCCACCGCGCTGACCTCATCATTAACATCATCTGATACCGCGCTTTATCGTTACAACCACCGATTGTTTCTAAACAAATTAATTTGATGAAGATTATTCAAGAGCGAACAATTAGTTTAACAGTGGTACAGCCCGCTAGAACATCTTCGACGCATGGGCTGGTTCGCCCGGTGCAATATCAGGACCACACAGAAGATAGGCGGAAGTGGAAGTGATTCCGCGTTTCGTCTCATGAGTATGCGTACCGGAAACGTAATTTTACTCCCTTTTCGTTCCCACCCTTATGTTATAAGGTAAGGATGGTAAGAGATAGTCGTTTTTACAGTGAACGAGGAAGTGGAAATACTCTCTTTATGAGCGTCGCAGCCTCCCTCGATTAAGGCTAGGCAACGTTCCTCTATTGCGGATGTCTATGGGCAGCAAACACTACGCCGTTTCGGCTGCTTCAGGTGCCCGATTTCTCTTACCTCTTTATGACATTATAAAAAGTTTAAGGAAAAGCCTACTTTTGTCAATGACATTGTCCACTTTTACTTTTAGTAATATTTTTCCAGGCCCTATTTTTTTTTTACATTTCAGACATTGCATTATTTATTTGCACGTACTTTTTAAACGTAATTTTTTTTAAGATAAGTTTTAGATATAGCTTTTAGAGAGCTTATTAACATACTCATAAAACTAGGTACGTTTGTGTTAATAAGTTCTTAAAATTATAAGGAAATAATTTGCTTAACACTAAGTCATATTAATTGGGTTTTGATATCGAGAAATTGAGTTCATAAGAAGTCTTTATATTTATAAATCGAGATGATAATTATGTCGTAATGTGGCTGGCACTTGACATCAAGCATAATTTATTGTGATGCATGTAGGTATTACAGTAGCGAACGATTATAGAGCGAATGACTCATCGGTTTCAATTCAAGGAACGGACTGGATAAACAATCATTGCAGTGTCCCAGGCGATAACGGGCGTTCGCACATCCCGCTACCCCGCGCCCGCTACGCCTGCACCGCGCACACACGCTACAACACTAACACGTGTATTGTTTCTCTCACCCCTCTTTCCCCCGACCAACATACATATAGAAAAATACACTATGTATAAAAACTTCATTGCACGTCTATTTTATATCGTAAGTTAACAACACATTAGTATACGTTTTATACCTACCATGTATGTGTCTGG